AAATATAAAATGAGTTTTAGAATATATAAATGGCTGACCTATAAAATAAATTATAATGGAATATAAGATTAGCAAAATAAAATCTCTCAGTCTAAATTTTCATTTTACCAATTTAGGATTAAATTGGTTAATCCGATGTTTTTCTTACCTTTATCTCTATAAAATCTTAACTTTGAATCTCTAAAATTATTTTTAAATCCTCTATACTAAAATTAGGATATTTTTATACTTTCCTTTTATTTATTTAATTTTAATTCGATGATTCGCGACAACGAGTAAAAAATTCAGTTTTTACAAAAAATAATAATTATTATTCCTCAAAATATCAAAAAGTTGCCGTATTCCTTGCCAATTTATAGCAACTTTAATTATTTATTCTCTTTCGCTAAAAACCACAAATAATTGTCATATATATTATGGTTGCGTTAAACTCGACAGACGCCTTACAGTAAGCAACGAATGTTAGGAAAAGCATTAATTTTAAAAAAATAAATATACAATAATAATTATAAACCCTTAAAATTTGATGTTCATTTGAACTTTTAAAAAATAGCATGTATGTGCCATTTTCTTGCGACAATAATTTAATTATCTCATCACAAAAATGTCGCTAATAATTTTTTTAAATATTAATAATGAGCATTAAAAACTTTCAGGATCCCACTAAAGGCAAATTCTCTTTTTAATCATGAGAGTTTTTATTATAAAACTTTATAGTTTTAGATGCAAGTTGATATGTGGGTCATCTAAGAAGACGTTATGCCTAAAAATGAGGTTATTTAAAAGAATAATTGCCACCCCATTCATAATAGCTAAAATAAATACACAATTAATATATAGTTATATTTTATTTACATCGAGCACAGTAAAATAGTAGTGAATTGTATATTTTTCCAAGTATTTTGTTTTTATTCTTTTCTTTACATTTATAGTATCTAAAAATAAATTAAAATCTGTCTCAATCGTATTTATAACAAGAGCTCGTTTGACATATCAATTAACGAGTTAATGATATTTAAGAATTCTTCTTTCTCATATGTAATATAAATACGAGTTACTATATTGCAAAAAGTCAAGAGTGGAGACCGAAGTGATTTGGCAGGTAAAGTAAAAAGGGAAAACGCTTATAAATTTTCCATCTTTGGGGCTATTGCTTTAAATTTGATCAATTCTATACACACTATCTGCCATGCCTTTATTTAGTAGTGGGAGCGCCTCATTCAAAAGAATCAAAAATAATTCTTTAGTCCTTTTTCGCCAACTTTTATATTTGGTGTTTTTTATTTTTGTGGCAAAAGTATACTTTTTGAATTATATGAAATTTATTGGATATATTCACAATGTCATTCTATGAAATATACTTAGTTTTCTAGTTAATCTAGAATAATTGCTAGAGCCATTTAGGCGAACTCAATATCGCTGGGGCTTTAGCAAGGGGTACTATGGCAAATTTGTGAGGCAAATTTTTTCAGAATTAGTCCAAATTTTAAAAGAATTTTATGCCTGTGGAATCTACCACTAATTTTTTTACCTATTATATTTGTAATGATCGTTCTAGAAATGTAACCATACCGTACAGAAAATGTTGATGCAAATTTCAGAACAGCTGATGAGTAAATCGCCTGATGGGTATGTCGCAGACTAACTATCTATTCATGATATCAGGCTACCACGGGAAAATGTGTGATGCAAGATGGTCATTGAAATATAATAATAGTGGAAAGGAGAGGAGGGGAGGAGATATAGGTGGAAGGAGAGTAGTAGTTATAGTTTTTTAAGCTAAATTTGATGATTTCTATTTCCTATTTTTATTAAAAATTTAGGGGATTGTAAAAATCAGAGACCCGGAGTGGATCGTAACGAACCGTTAAACCATTATAAACCGTTATAAATATTTGAACCATAACCGTAACCGAACCGATATAATTATTGAAGGAGTAAAAAGAACCTTTATAAAAAACGGTTAAACCGGTTCAAACCGGTTCAGTTTTTATATTTTAGTAATGGAAATAATTTGAATATCCAGAATTATATAAACTTGCTCTTATAGTACTGGCGGTTCCCGAAATACAATTTCCTGTAGAAAGGGCTTTTTCGGTGCTAAAATTTGTGTTATCGTCACAACAAACAAAAAGGAATACATTTATACTTGAAAATATATTACTTATAAGTTCAAATAATATATTTAAAAATGAGTTATTTTCAATCTTATATATTTTTTTTTATATAATTCATAGATGCTTATAATAAAAATAAATTAGAAGATGGTGTTGCTTCAATAAAAAAAAAATTTTCTAATCGTAATGAACCTTTATAAACCTATATAATTAGCTGAATCGAACCGAACCTTTATAAATTTCTTCTTAAGAACCGTAACCAAAACGTAACCATTATAATTTTTTACATACTGAACCGTAATCAAACTCACCCGTTATAAATAACAGTTCGGGTCCCTGCTAAAAATTGATTTTTGGAAGAGTAGTATAAAAATTTTAAGGATTAATACTGTCATTCTAAAAAGTGTGAATATTTGATATTACGCACAAATTTTCCTGAATGCACCAGTCCAATTAATGCCATGAATTGTCTATTTTATGTGTATCTTTATTGTGAGGTTCAATTTTTAAAAAAATATTTATAATTTGATTTACGTATGTTTTAATTATAACAATAAAAATTTTGTGTTTTGTGGTTTAATTTGATATTTGTCTGCTTATCCCAAGGGACTTTCTATCTTTCATAGGGCCGTTGGTATAGAGTAAATGCTGGACTTTTACTTAATGCAAAATAGGTCCATATCCATTTTTTATTTTGTAGTCTGATATCCAATTATACCATTCGTTTAATCTTAGACAAAACAAAAAATTTATTGCAAAAGAGAAAAATACCTGCCATATAACCCCTGTCTCGCCTACTAAAATTTATCCTATAAAACAGTTTAATAAAAAACCAAAAATAATAGCATATATTTCCTATATTTTATCATTCATTTAACCGTAGGTATATATATAACAGAGATCTGCAAAGGTACCATTTGCCCGGCCCAGTTTTTTAAAAAATAATTTTTTTTTTCAAAAAAATATTAAGCCCGGCCCGATTTTAAATAAATTATATTTATTTATAATTTTTATAGCGGGCGATTTAAAATACTTGGTTATAAAATATACGGCCTGGCTTTTTCTTATAAAAAATTTAAGGCCCGGCCCGTCCCGGATATTTTTAAAAAATGTTTTTAGGCCTGGCCTGGTCTGGCCTGGTCTGGCCTGGGTATATTTAAAAAAATTAAAATACGGCTCGACTCGTGTACCCAGGCCGGACCGGGTTTATGGCCGTGCCTGCAGGTCTCTGATATATATTAACATCTATTTGGTAAAATGTCTTAATGTATTTATATTCGTTTTAGAGATTTTTAATATTTTTATCATAAAAGTGATTTTTACAGTTGTTTTATGTTTATATCATTTAAAATAACATATTTATATAAAAATAACGATAACCAAATTTATAGAAATGACGGATAGGATACAAATATTCAGTGACCCCTACAACGGGGGGGGGGGGGTCCGAAGCAACTGCTTCTATAAATTTCTATGGGGGTACTTCTTTTTTTTTTAAATTTTTTATTTTTTATTTTAAAATTTAAAAAAAAATTTTTTAATTTTTTATTTTAAAAATTTTTATGGTCGATGTTTATCAAATTAGTTTGTTATCCGATATTTCTTATCATAAAATTATTTTTCCACTTTCAAGATTTGGCGCAAAATTAAAATTTTATCAAAGGGAATAGTAAAAATTTAAATATTAAATCTTATATATAATCATTTATAATTTTTAGATCATTGTCAAAATATGCCCAAAAATATTAACCAAAAAAAATATAAATGCTTGATTAAAAATTGTACATATCATAATATAAGAGATGATAAATGGACAGATCATATTAGAAAAAGACATGGTGGGCTTAATTTTCACGATATAAAGAAAAGCTTTGAAATAGTGGCTTTTAAGAATATTTCTCAAAATTGGACAAATAGCAAAATAATTTTTTTTATTAAATAAGAAGTGAGAAAAAAATTAAGGGATTAAAATCTAAATTATATTCAAATCTGTTATCATATAATAACATAAATATTCTTATTGAAACCATGAAAAATATGGTTATAAAAAAAATTCAAAAGGAGATTGAATTCAACAGGGGCTATTCAATTATAGTTGATGGCACATATGATGTATCGAAATCAGAAGCAATAGCTTTGATAGTGAGATATGTTGAAAATAGCGAGACACCTAAGCCCGTTGAAAGGCTGATAGACATTTATTGTACGGGAAATACAACGGGCCTCGATATTAAAGAGAATATAATATCCAAGCCTGGCTCCATGAATCTACCCCTCGAATTCCTAGTGGGGCAAAGCTATGATGGCGCCTCAAACATGAGTGGAAGAATTAATGGAGTGCAGGCTTTGATTAGAGCGGAGGCGCCAAAGGCAGCTTTTATTTGGTGCTATTGTCATCGATTAAATTTAATAGTTGTTCAATTATGCCAATCAGTAAAAGAGCTGCCAAATGTCTTGGGAATATTAGACGAAATTTACGTATATTTTAATGGTGTTAAAAGATATGAAGTGCTCAAAACATGTCAGAGTGATTTACTGACAAAATCACATAGATTTTTACGCATCAAGAATACCACTCGGTAATATTATCTTAATTGTTTCGATATATAATGTTTATTTTATATATATAGAAGCTGGCTAACATCATATAAGGCGATTGTAAATTTTTTCCTACTTTATGATGCTTTGAGGGCAGCTTTGGCAAATTTAAAGGATTCTGAAGATCCTGCCCCTTCCACTATGGCTAGTGCTATAGTCTATAGAATAGAAAATTTGATTTTATTTTATCACTATGTGTTTTGGATAAAATAATGTTGATAACTAGCTTGGCTTGTACAAAATTGCAAACCATTTCGAAGGATTTAGGGTTTGCAATAAATCAAATTCAATTGGCAAAAGATTGCCTGATTAATATGAGAAGTATAATTTAAATTATTATCTTTTATTATTTTATAATACTAAAATAGATAATAACACTGAATTTTTGGATGTCTTTTCAAAGGCCCAAGATTTTATGAAGAAGAGAAATTTACCTTTTGATTTTGAAAGTTCAAGACTTCAAACATTACAATCCAAAAAGGAGAGGTATATATATATACTTTCATCATTAAATATAATATTTTATTTTAGCTTTAAAATCAGTGTGTTTTATGCTGCACTTGATTTAATTATTATGCAGTTTAGTGAAAGATTTAACGATGAATCGATAAAATTTTTGAGTCAAACATCATTTTTTACCCCAAAGGGAATGGCGGAAAAGGCAATTGTTAAAGATGATATCAAGGATATCTGTGAATTTTATCAATTAAATACAAGTCAAGTTTTTGAGGAAATGTTGATGTTTAGAAATATTTATAAAATGGCTAAAACGGGGGACGTAATTATTACTCGTGACCTAGAGGTTAAAGAAGATTTGTCAGATTCTGAGAATTGTAAATTTATTTAATTAAAATATTTTTACTAATACATTATTTAGCTTCTTCTGATGATGATAATAATTTTGAGATGAATGATTATGACTGGAGAAACTATTCATTTATTTTACCTTATCGTCTGCTTATAAATTTTTCTGCTTTCCCAAATTTAACAATTTTATATAAATATTTATTAACTATTCTTACTACATCATGTACTGCCGAAAGGGTCATGAGTAAAATTAAACTAATTAAAACAAGACTTCGTAGTGTCATGAAAGATCCATTTCTTAATAATTTAACCATTTTATCAATGGAAAATAATTTCTTTAAACAATTAAATATTGATGAAATTATAAATTCTTTTGCTTTCTCTTCCCCTAATTTATCTAAATTATTAATTTAAAAATAATATTTTTAAAGCATATATTTTTTACATTATATTTATATTATAATAAATATTGATGCAATAAAAATTATTTTTGAAATTTATTGGTGTCAAAAAATAATTTACAATGGGGGGGTACTTTAGGGGGGTATTCTGCTTCTATCCCTCAAAAAGTGTAGGGGTCACTGCAAATATTCAATGTCATGCAGGTAAAGTAATAAGTCAAATATATATCCTTTTTCAGTTTATTTTTGTGTGAATTTCTTCTAGGATGAGTGAAATCATCAGGGACCCGGAGTGAACCAGAATGAACCGCTAAACCGTTATAAACCTTTATAAATATCTGAACCGTAACCGTACCGATTTTTTGAAGGAGTAAAAAAAACATTTATAAAAGTTAAACCGGTTTGAACCGGTTTCAGCGAAAATAAAATGAATAATATTACCTTTTATTACATTCTTTTCCTTGTGGTGCCTTACATATTTTACCATATCTGCGTCGTTATTTATAATTATTAAATGATCAAAATATTTGTTTAATATCCATAATTTATTAATTTTTCATATAGTATTAGATTAGAGCATTCCTATTTCCTATATTTTAAAATGCAAAATATATAAATAACCAATTTTTGATTTAGTTGTATTTAATTAATCTAAAAAATCATCCGTTTTTATATATATATAAACTTGCACTTATAGTATTTGCTGATCCCGCAACACAAGTTTCTGTTAAAATAGGGGCCAAAATATGTGTTTGAACCTCAACGAACAAATATGAACTTATATTAGAAAATATATTACTTGTACGTTCTAAAACATATTTAGAAATGAGTTATGATTCTTATATATTATTCATAGACACCTATAATAAAAATAAATTAATTTCATCAATTTAATAAATAAACAATATTATTAACTTAGGTGATGGCAAAAATTTTAATAAAAATATTTATAATTAAATCATTATACGTTGGTGTTGCTTCAATAAAAATAATTTAGAAAGAAAATTTCTAATCGTAATGAACCTTTAAGAACCTTCACAATTAGCGGGACTGAATTAAAAATTTACAAATGTTTTCTTAAGAACCGTAACCTAACTGTTACCATTATAATTTTTTACATTTTGAACCGTAACCAAACTCAACTATTATAAATAAAGGTTCGAGTCCCTGGAAATCATGTTGATATTAAAAAAATCTAAAGAAAAATAAAATTCATATAATTAAAAGTGAAATGTATAGGATAATAGGTAATCCGTAATCTGGACATGCTGGGCAAAATTAAATTTAAAAATTTTTAAAAAACGGGCTATTTAAAATTAATAAATAACATATTTAATCATAAATAATATTTAATTTTAAACTTGATGTAATTGCATTCATTACTCATATATCTGTTTAAATCTATTTTTGATCAGAGTTCCGATATCGGAAACAGTTTCATATTTTTGGTCTGAAAAATTTAATTTAATTTTTATCTCCCCTTAAAAATATAAGAATCTATCATACTGTTTATTGGATAAAAATAATAATAAATGAACATTTCAATTTACTTAGTTGTATTTTGTATATCATTTTCAGCAAATAAAAATAAGGAATAGAATAGAACAAATTCTAATAATATATACATAATGATAAAATAAATTATAAAACATCAATAAATTATAAATAAGCATAAAGAGAAAATATTAGATTGAATTTGCAAATAAAATATTGAGTATAGGATGCCAAGAAAAAGGGATCTAATATTCTTCATCTCGGTTGAGATTATGTATCGGAAAGCTGGAATTAATAAATTTAATCTTTCTTTACATGTATAATGCTATCTAATAATTAATTTTTTAATATTCACAAATTTGGGTATTTTTAAAGTTAATGAGATGTTAGGAAATAATCTATACTAGATAGAGAGAGGGTCTAAAATTCTTTAATACATAAAAACGCTAGGAAATTCTCTTTATTGTGCTCTTTTGGTTTTTACAATCTAGAGTTTATTGCAAGAATTGTAGAGTATACGATAAAATATCCAAACTTAGAAACCTGCAAAATCAAAATTTTTGGTTTGAGCTTGTCAGTAGATGGGTTGGATTTTTTTTCCTGCATCCAGGCGGGGGATAGCAAATTGCCACCTTCTACCAGAATTTTTCAAAAGTTTGGGAACAACTCACAAACCAAAATATTAATTTTATAAATTTAAATATTTAGCAAAACTTTGATAATTTAATCATGTTTATCTAATTAATTAAATAAAAATATGAATGAAAATAGATAGTAAATATTTTACACCTTCTGATTTTTCAACTTCTTATTTTTTAAATTTATTTTATATTTGCTTTATTCAATTAGACAAAAAATAAGGAATCAAAGGGAATACGATATTATGGAGCATGGGCCTAGTTTTGATGATATTACCACTGGTCCGTGTGCCTAGCTTACGGGCGGTTCTGCGGGACTACATCATGTCTATTGAGGTAATTATTTTTATTCAAATAGGAAAAAGTATTGTTTAATTTTATTCGAAGGTTGGAGTATACGCTTATATTATTTAAATAAATATTTCCAATCAGAGACTTCTACCCCTGGGAGAGCGAGGGGCATTGCCCAAAATAATCTTTAAAATTAGAAGAGGGTGCAGTGTTTAGTTATAAACAGGGTTGGTAGATCGCAAATACTTGCACCTTAAATATAAGAAAACAAGAAACTTATCTTTACGTTCATTTTAAAAAAGCAATCTGTATCTTAGACACTATTTTAAAATAAGTATCTGTATCTTTAACTGTTTAATATGCAAAAAATTAAAATTTTATACTATTTTTTGATATATTTAAATGTTAGTTTAATTTTAAAAGTTAAATATTTAATTTAAATCCGAATTAAATTATTAAACTATATTTGATTTGGAAATGAAAAAAAAATCTGAAAAAATGCCTATAAAATCATTGAAAAAATGTTCTATTTAAAAATGGCCTAGTATTACATTATGCACCCTATATGAAAACAATTAATTAAAATTTAGCATTATTATGTCTTAATAAATGAATGTAATAAAAATATTTTACAAACAAATAAAAAATAATTGTGCCTTGTTTCTTGCAAAAAATTGAAATATATCAATTCTGTTTCACAACATTATATCATATTATATTTCAAAATTTAAGCTCGGCCCGTTTTTAAAAATATTAAGCCCCCAGCACACTGAATTTGTTTAGAAAAATAGGATCTGTCTGGTCTACTTTTACAGATTTCGAGTTCAAGTAACCCACAAACGATATTGGCTTGTGCATAATTAAAGGGGAAAAACGACCATTGATTATAAATTAATCGATATTAGACCTATGTCGTATTGAAAATAATTTTTTTTATGTCGAGATAATTCTAAAATTAAACAAACTTTTATATCTTAAAGTAAACGATATAAAAATAAAAGTTATACATTTGCAAAAATAATTATCTTTGCTAATTTTTTTAATTATATGGAGGAACATTCACATATTTCTGAACAAAAATAAAGAATTAAATCTTACCTAGAGTGTGCTTACAACAAGTTAAAGAAGGTCAGGTTATTATTTGTAGAAGATTACATAACTTTAATTGCCTTAAATAAAGATACTGCTCTAATAATAAATCTTAAGATTTAACCACCTTATGTATTCTTATCTTTATATATGCTGGCTGACAGATTATTGTTTCTGGATTCTTTAGAAAAACCTAGCTATATTTTTTCATATTTTTGAATTATATTATCGATTGCATAAATTATGTTGCACGACGAATATTAAATAAATAATTATGTAATATAAACAAAGGAAAGTTTTTAATTATTTTGTTATATTATTACGACCTGTTAGTAATCTAACATTAATTAATTCCAAAATATCTTAAAATATGGAGACAGAAAACAATCCATCTTTGGTCCCTCATTATAACTTAAATTTTATTTTAAAAAACACCATATATTCATATATCTATGTAAAAAAAAAATTTAAGTTACAAATAAATAATTTATTATATTTATATTTTTTCTCCCTTTTTTTATTGTAGGAGTTTGACATGATATTTTTGCAAAAATTAATGCTTTATAATAATTACCTTTTATATCGATACTCGTTAAAATATTACATAATAAAAAAACCTTCAAAATTGATCCCTTCAATATAATGAAGACGTCAAAAAATTGACCACTCCACGCGTCTTCGAACCTTTCTAATTAATAAAATTAGCTTTTGTAAATTAACCTCTCAATGCATCCATAAAGAATAAACTTTGGATGATCATCTTATAAAAAGTTTCAATATTTATATGTTTATACATTAATTATATTATTATACAAAATATTTCATTATTAAAGGCCATAAAATAAATATTTATTTAAATTTGTTGAGTGGAGAGGAAAAGTGATTTACAAAATAAATAACATTAATTTCGTAAAAGGTGAACTAGTGGTAAAAATTGAAACATAAAATTACACCTTAATTAAATAAGCGAATGAATTCGAATTGTATCGTAAAAAAACCTGAGGGTAAAAGACCCCGCGCCTCGGAGAGGATTCTGTAAAACTCTCATATAATCTGTAAATATTAATGAAAAAAATTTGCAAGCTACCTCGAATGGTAGATAACTATATATCTCATGTAAATGATTATTCTTTTTATAATTTTTTTAAAATCTTATTTCAATTTTTACAGTAAAAAAATTTAAGGCACATAAGTACACGTCGGAAAAAATGATTTTGATTAACGAAAACTTTATTATTTAGCAAAATATAAGGATTAAAGTAAAAATAAAAAGTTATCAATTTATTATTTCTATAAATTTTTTTGCAATGAAAAAACTCATTGAGCTGTAC